GGGCAGGGAAGAGAGGTACAGTAATGGCTAAAGGGCACAGGACTTGAACCCAGGGCTTCGTGAATACTAGGCAAGTGCTGTCACTCTGCTACATTCCCAGTCCAGCTGGGTTTCTTACTTGAGGTAACAAAAATGCTCTAAAATTGACTGTGATAATGGATGCACATACCTATGTGTAGACCAAAAAACATAAAAACATTGAATTGTTTTTTAAAGTACTTTAAGTGGATGAACTATTTAGCATTTAAATTATTACTCAATTAAGCTGTTTTAAATATTTTAGTACATTCTTGCTGAAGTAACCATTTCTGCAGGAAATGTGTCTTAGAGGTGAGCTGAGCCCCCATACTGGGTGAGGCACATGGACACAGAATCACCTCTTCCCCCATTTCTGGGCTGTGTCTGACTAGAGCAGAAGGCTCGCTGGAGCTCTACTCATACCAGTAAATGACATGGACTTGCTCTGGTCTCATTCTCACATCTGCCCACAACTTTCCCAGCCTGCCTATTCCACTAACTGGAACCGCCCCCCCCCCCTTTTGACAGGGTCTCCCTAGTCCCAGCCTGCCTGGAACTCACTGCAGACCTCAATTTCAGAGATCTGTCTGCCTCTGTCTCTCAAGGGCTGGGATCAAAGGCATGTGCAACCATGCCCAGCATATTCCCTCTCATTTTTATGTGGGAATCTAGTATGCCCTGCTCAACTGGCTCCCTGCCCTGAACCCAGCTTCCCTTATTGGACTCCTGACATCCCCCTCAACCTATGCCAATCTCATAGGCCAGCTCTGATTCTTCCAAATAGTGAATGAAGACAATACCAAACTAGACAATACTCCTAAGAAACTGTACTGTGATTGCCAATGAAAGCTTGAGGCAGCCTAGGACTCATAGGTGCCCATCAAAATGAGCATCTCCTAATTACAAGGCATACATGCTTTTCTCCCTTTGGGAATTCATTCCTGCACCCTATACATCCCCTTCCCACTTGGCCTGGCTTTCACATTCTACCTCCTCTATGAAGCACTATGAAAAAATCAGGATCCTCTGTCTGCTCTTGTGGGAAACAAACAGACAGCAAAGAGCATAAGTCCCAACTTCAACTCCAGCACTGAATGAATGCAAGACCTTGTCAGAGTCTCAAGCACTCTGCTTTGTTGAGTTCTCCATCTACAGAGAGGAGGGAGTAATATTCCTCAGGGTTATGAGGATTAAATGACTAACATATGCAATGTGTTAGGAACAGGACAAGAGGTGCTACTGCCCCTATCTCATCTAGCTGATGGTATCCTATTTGTTTATGTGCATCTTACCCTACTATTCCCTGCTCAAAGGCATGAAGACTCTTATCTCTCTTCATATTCATAATATAACATAGTGCTAGGCACAGGACAGGTAGGTATACAGGACAATGAATGAAGGAAAAATAACTTAGTCCAACATTGTCAAAGACTTTGGAAATCACACTTTTTCAAAGTAAAAAATCAGAGCACATAGTTCCTAGAAACACTAGATTGAATATCTGAAATCAGGCCTGTCCTGGAAAATCTAGGCTGTCTCTCTGCCTGAACTCTCTAGAAAGAATACAAATACTTGACAGTTAAAAGTGGTTACATAAATGATAGCAATCAACACAGGGGATTTTATACAAGCAAAACAGGAGGCCTAGGCTGATCCCCAAGTTGGGACAACACAAGAACCATAAAATCAGAAGATTTCAAAGAGCAAAGTTCAAGGAGCTGACTGTGTGCAGTGTTAAACAGTGAGGATACCTTTGATGCTAGAGATTATCTAATAAGAAAAATACTAGTGATGCTTCTAATGCCTTTTCAGAAGAAACAAGAGCAACAGTGGGGAGAGTCTAAAACAAGACAGCAAGAGAAGTGTCAAGTTTCTGTATTACTTTAACTCTCTGAATAGATAAGTTTCCTGATAAGAAAAAAAACCCACGTACTTTTGTTATGGTTTAGTCTCTTCTTTCATAATAGACTTTAACAACAAGTCAGTTTCACTTATGTCAAGAACAATCATCAGCTTGACTCAAGACTCTTTCTGAATCCTCTCATTATACCCACAGATAAGTGAAATTCTCACCCCTCATCAAAGCAGCTTCTTTCTGCAGCAGATGGAGACTATTGCAGAGATCCACAACTGGTTAATACACAGAGATTATTGACCATGGGTGCCAACCTTAACTGGTACATCTATAATACAATTCCTTCATCAAAGGCTCATGAAACATCACAGAAGAGGAGATGGAAAGATTGTAAGAGTCAGAGGACTAGGACACCTGCTGGTATACAGTGTCTTCTCAGCAATATGGTTAACCTAAACAAGACGTGCACTAATGACACCACCAGTGGACAAGCCAACATTGACAGAGGAAATTTCATAAGGCCCTACTCCTAGATGAAGAACTGCAAGCTGGAGCTGGAGAGACAGCTCAGACCTGGGATCATGTTGGGGAACCCTGCTGTTAAGGTCGACTCCTTTCTCAGCAGGGGCTTCCTGCTCTCTGCCTGACCTTATCTGGAAAGTGCCTCTAAGCTCGGATGCCTGGCCTTATTTGGAACAGGACCTTTGGCATAGTTACCTGCAATAAAACTGCCCCTAGGTTTTTTCTATATGATAATTAGGCATTTCCCTATAGCCAGATGATAGGATCCCCCTACCACATGTAAATAAAGCATACTATGAACACCTATCAGCTGAAGCTTTGGCTGCTACCTCCACACTATATTTTTCCTGACCCCCACTCAATAAATGGAGCTGTATCACTGAATCTGACTCCCGGGAAGGTTTTTTCCATCCGTGCTCACTGGCCATCCTGACCCCATTCATAGCTTTTGCTCCCTTTGTTCTTGTGGGTCAGAGGCCAATGACCCACAAGGGGAGGGAGAGACCCACAGGATCAGAAGACCTGGGTTTGGTTTTCAGCACCCACACAATGGCTAGCAGCCATCCTTAACTCCAGTTCCAGGGGATCTGACACTCTCTTATAGCCTCCATGGGCATTGCATGAATGGGTGTACTTATATACATGCAGGCAAAATACTCATACACACAAAAATAAATAATTTTTTTAAAAAAAGAACTATAAACCATAAATGGCTGCTCAGAGAGGGAGAATCAGTTTTTACTGGAGGCCAGTGTCTTGATAGTTATCCAATCAAAAGTGGTCAGCCCTAAACACATGTATATACTAGGATGACTAAATGGACTGAGTAAGATGTGTGGTGTGTACGTGCATGTGTGTGTGTGTGTGTGTGTGTGTGTGTGTGTTGTGTCTGAAATTGGAGGAGTAGATGGAGGGGTAGAAATAATATAAACATAGTAGTCACATATGAAATTCTCAAAAACAAAAAACAACAAAAAAACCCTGAAACCAAGTCAGAAAGATGGTTCAATGGGTAAGGCCTGAGGATTCACATAGTAGAAGAAAAGAACTGATTCCTGAAAGTTGTTCTCTGACATCCATCCATATGTGTGCCATGACACACACAGATACATGCATGCACATACATAAAATAAATGCAATTTTAAAAAAATTTAGAAAGCTGTTGGCTCGGCATAGTGGTGTACTCCTTTAATCTCAGCACTTGGGAGGCACAGGCAGGTAGATCTCTGTGAATTCAAGGCTAGTCTGGTCTACAAAGTGAGTTCCAGGCCAGCCAGGGCTACACAGGGAGAGTCTATCTCAAAAAAGGAAAAAAAAAAAAAATTAACCTAAAAAAGTACACCCAAAGAACTTGCCTCTAGAAAAATCTTTCACTTTTTTTTTCCAGTGTCCCCAAATTAGAGCCCAACTCAGAGAAAGACAAAAAGCAAGAAATGAATGTGGGACTTGCCCAAAGCACAGAGCATGTGTTTTTCATCTATATCTGTTTATTTCATACCTATAGATGCACACAAATACAATACAATCTTGCCATATGTATACAACAGAGCTATGCATACCTAACATGGCTATACAAATACAAACACACAGCACAAAGAAGAGAGTCACAAGCAATCTTTTCAAGTGTCTTCATGAGTGAGTAAGATGAAGTCCACACAGCAGCTTCAAATAGCCCAGGGGATGAAGGCTGCTCTAACTAGGCTTTAACAAAATGAACATGCAGTCACCCAGCACCTCCATCCTTGCCATCAACATTCCTTAGAGTAATGCCATTCCAGAAAGGAAGATAAAAGGAAAAAAGGCAAAAACTGTCACCCATGACATACTCCAATCAATAGACAGTTGTCCTTTAAAACAGTTCTAGAGTCTACACACAATTACAATTTACAAAACCTAGTATTCCGATCAGAATTTCTCCTCACTGCCAAGCTATTTTGCGAAAGGAGCAATCTATCAAGAAATGAAGTTTAAACCATTAACTACATAGCACCAAATCAGTAGCACAAGTAGCTTGTAAATTTCATGGTATCTGAGGACCCCAATCATGTCCTTTGAAATATTTTATACAATACTCAGTACAAAACAACTTATTAAATATTTATGGTGATTAGGTTTTTTTTTTTAATGCCCAAAGTTAGCCAGGGGTGGTAACTCATGCTTTTAATTCCAGCACTTGGGAGGCAGAGGCAGCAGGATCTCTATGAGACTGAGGCCAGCCTGGTCTACATAGTGAGTTCTAGGCTAGCTGGGGCCACAAGGAGACCCTGTCTCAAAAAAATAAAAGTGAAATGTCTGTTATACAGCTTGGCCGTGTATGCAATATAAACCATGTATCAGTATCTGTTTCTCCAAATGTAATAAGACACTGAAAACAAAACCAGCTGGAATTAGAAATTCTGTGCCCTCTGTCCAAGAACACTGTTCCATATTTGTGTCAAAAGGAACAGCCAGAGAAAGAGGGCAACATCAGGCCTAGGCTATTTCACTGAAGAATTTCCAAACTGCTCACACAGTAGCAAAGCCTACCCTCGAGCATTTTGGCGTCGCAAAGGAAGCAGCAAAGCCCACTCCATGGCAGCATCCTTTGGGGAGACTTCCTCCTTACCTTTCCCATTTTGCCATGTAGTATACCAGGACAGAGTAAGGAACGAGGTGACAAATACTAATGCAGTGGCTACAGTTCCATTGCGGAGCCTCATCTCATTATTTCACCATCACACTGGTTCATATGTTGGTGATGACAACCAAGACTGTTTTCTTTTAGGCCAGAAGTTGACAGAATCCAGAATTCCTGGCTCTAAGCCAAAGAAAGCAATTGATGAGAGAGACTCATTTCAGATGCTGGGAGAGAGAGAGGTGTCAAGCAGCAACTCAGTTGCAATTGCTACTCCACATTGTCTTCTTGTGGTCTTCAGAGGCTGAGGTCTAGGGTATTCTGCTTCTTCCTATTCAAGGGAGGTTAGAGAAAGAAAAAACTTGCTAAATAATGCAAGGCATAGGTTTTCTAATTTATTATTCCACTTCATACTCAGCCTTTTGTTAAGGTTAAACTGTCTCTATGAAGATTGCACCTATATTAAAACTATTCATTTAATATACCAGAATTATATGTTCTTTTTTCCCTTCAAGGATAAAAGGTTCAAACTAAATTCCCTCTTGCCTGGTTTTGCCTGTGAAAAACAAAAAACTATGGCTATTCATTTAAAAGAAGCCATAGGGCTCATAGATTCCCAAAGAGATTGTTAAGGACAAAGTCACAAGCTTCAGTCTCCTCAGTTAATTCTGCTGCACAACAGCAAGCGACGTTTAAAAAATAAAGAGGAGAACTGTCTCCCTATAATATTTTGAAGGGTCAAAAGGGCAGGATTCAAGATCCAGCTCTGGCATCATCCCCTGCATGATTCCCAGCATGCCCCTTTTATTGATGTCACCAAATTTTATCTATGAGATGAAGAAGCAACTGGTCCTAACTCCTAGGTTCGCAGATTATCAGAAATGGCAAAAAAGTTTGCAGTTATTAATGCTATTTATTGTCATCACAAGTTTTCATTGAGAAAACTGGACATAGTTATGCATTCAGAAGAGGCAACGATCCAGTCCACACTCTCAGCCAGGGCCCATCACTTCACACTGCTTTCACGCAGGAAATTTGGAAGATCACTACCTAACTGCAGAGAAACTTGAAAGAAATGAGGTTGTTAATTACATAAGCATACTGCCAAGCATGTAATAGGTTCTTAATAAATATTAACTGTATAAAAAAAATACCAAGCAAACAAATAAATGCAGCCAGCAACTGGGCAGTCCACTCTATGCATAACTACTTTTGTTGCCTAGAGGCATGTCAGGCAAGCAGATCTGCACTGATCCTGGTGACTTCCAGGGTAAGATGCTCTTCGTGATATAAATGGCACTCTAGTGGGGTAAGTTAATGCACCTCCACAAACAACACACCTAAGAGACAACTGTCTCAGTGGACAGGCATGACTGATTAAAGGAGCCATTTGCAGGCAATTTAGAAAGCACCACCTCAGCTACTTCTTAGTAATGAACATCACTAAAAAGCTCTTCACTAGCAAAGAAAAACCATAGGGGCAAATTACAAATGAGGACAGTGACCAGTCACTGTAACTCACTGGCTTCTTCCTATGTGCTGGGCCTATTGTACAGCTTCACTAAATCCAATGGGGCAAACATTATGAACCCTGTTATTCACACAAGGAAATAGATCCAGTGAGAAAACCCCATTTTGAATAACTTCTAAGTTCAAGTTCTTTTTAAATATTCTATTTATTATTTTTATTTTATGTGTACAAGTGTATTGCCTGCACCCATGTTGTTCAATGCCCTCGGAGATCAGAAAGTGGGGTTGGATCCCTTGGAACTAGAGTTACAGAAGGTTGTTAGCCAACATGTAGGTACTGGGAATCAAACTTGGGTCCTCTACAAGAGCAGTCAGTGCTCTTAACCACTGAGCTATCTCTCCAGCCCCTAAGTTCAAGTTCTTATCTACCACTTTTTGCCCTACAAATTTGATCACTGGCACCACGGCAGGATGGAGAAGTTCTAGAGATGTCTAGCAGCTCAAGTTACACTGGAGAATCTTCTCGAGTGTTAATTTTAAGTTTTGCAAAATTCACAGGAACTTTCAAAGTCTAAACATTTAACTCTAAACAAATTTCCCACTTCCTGCAGTCTTTGGCTAATCCCTCACTCCTGAGTCCCCAACAAAGCATGCCTGTTACCTTCCTTGGCCAGCAGCTCTAATTTCCATGTAGCATTCTAGAAGTACTACATTCCATTACATTACCTCCCTTCATTAACTGAGCACAAGGCGCTCCAGAGATCTCCACATTACCAGTGCTAAAACCAAATGTATTCACCTTCTATAGTTAAGATACCTTTATAACAAATATGTTCGTGTTGATTGCTTACAATTAAAAATCTTCATGCCCCCCCAAAACCCTTAAATCAATAGTCACTCAATAATGGCTACTGATTATAAAAACAGAGGCGATATTTTGGTGAACCATGTAACTTGGAATTTTAAGTCTGGCATGACATTATACAAAAATGCTTATAACTCTGCTGCTATATAATTTGGCCATATTGTACCTCAGAAAGGATTTTATTCTAGTATTAAAAAAAACTAAAAAGTGGGTTATTAGAATATCCAGTTGACATAAATCAGTAAGCAGTGATGCACAGACTCATTAAAAATGATAGTTCAAAAGTTTTACTAAGTACAAACAAGGCATATATAAAATTTCAGTATAAATGCATGGAGATGAAATGAGTTCTAAAATCAATGTATACTATATACTACATGAAAACAAATGGAATATTAAATACTGGACCCAAGAAGTTAGTACACTCTGGTTTAGAGAAGATGTTTAGAATGAATTCTACTAAGGCCTGGCATTTCACAAGAAAAACAGGAGAGCATTTTACTCCATAAAAATGCAGTCATACATTTTAAATCAGGGTTTCCAACCTGACGAAGTTTCACTGAGAAAAACAAGTGAATGAAATCTCCACAGGGGAGCAAACTGAACAGGCCATGTGCTTTTAAATCACCACAGGCTGTTGAGCTAGCTCATTAGACTACATTTTTATCAGCGGCCACATATGCAAACATTTAAATTTTGTACTTACCTTAACAGTCTCCAAGGCCATCACTTAGCATATTTGAATCTTTAAACAAAAAGGTAATGACTAAAATTACTAGTCATTTCTCCACCCACCCAAAGAAGAATGGAACTTTCAACTCTAGGTGTCAGAATGAAAAATCTGTTTTGTTAACAGATTTAACAAGCTTGTATCTTAATTCTGTTTTTTTTTTTTTTTTTTTTTTAAAAAGGCAATTTTAAAGTGTTCCCTGAAATATTTCATATGTTCCTTGGCTCTGAGAACACTTTGCTGAACATTTGTCATATTCCTTAATCAGCATCCCACAAACAAAACAGTGGTGCCTTAAAGAATCAAAAGCACGATTCATGCTGCCCAGAATCAATGAAAACCATGACGTAAGCCATACAACTTTATAAACCAGTTATGAAAAATTCATGTATTTTTCACTTCTAGAGGATTAATATTTCTTTTCATACAGCTTACATAATTTCCTCATCCATTGCTTTTGGGGGGGTTACACTTAAGAAATATACCATAACCTGTTAATATAATAACTATTCTTTGGAGCATTCAAGAAAAGGACTGTCAACCACAAAGAGTATTACTGACTCTACATTTAGGTTTTTTACATTCAAATGAACGACTGTGCCATTCTTTATCTTTTGTCAAAGAATTTGCTGGACAGCGAAAGCGCAACAGCAAAATTGATGTAACACATTAAGTGATACATTGTGTCTACTTCTATTTTGTAATTCAGAATGTAAGCCATGAATGGGCTCCAGAGACTCCCAACGTGGCGAGAAACAGCGAAAGCGAGAAGGCACCACCGCCTGCTCCTAAAGCACGCCTTCCAGATGTCACTGGCACACCTAGAGAACCCGCCTGCACCCAACTTGGGGGGTCCTGCTCGCAGCATTCACGCGAAGAGAGAGCCAAGGCCTGGGAGAAGCCGGGGCTCTGGCTCACCATCGTTAGGGCTTCACTTTGTAGATAAACCGCTTCCCGGGGCCGCTAGGGTCCCGGCTCCCGGCATCAACCCACCCCCGCCCTACCTGCCCCGCGCGCGCCGCCTCCGGGCCGGAGCCCTCCAGCCGCGGGGTCCCGCTCGCAACTCTCCGTCCCCGCCGCAGACGCACACTTCGCTGCACTTTCCCCCAAAGTCCCCGAGCTCCGGGGACGCGCGGGGCGCCAGGCCGGCCACCCGGAGGGCGCGCGGGACCCGGGCGCTGTGGAAGCGGCAATGCTGGAGAACGCCGGGCCCGCGCCCCGCGCCCCGCGCCCCGCTCCGAGGCCCCGC